AATGAGGTTACTGTGAGTTCCTCTTTGGAATTTCTTTTGAATATCTGTAGAACTCATTTAAAGGAAATGTAATGAAACCTTTAATTAGTAATGTTCGTAACGAGCAGAAGGAAATGCCACTGCTACAGGCGGACTTCATGTGATGCTCATCTTTTATTTCTGCCTTTTCTGACCCTTTATGCAGGCAAATAAATCTGCTGGAGAACATATCCCTCGGTTCTGCCTTCTTCATACAGCACAAACACAACGCAGTTACATATATATAGACCATTCCTCATTTCCCTCGTTGTATAGTTCCTGCACTATTGTAAATACCGCTTGCTCCTAGTTACCCGGTTGCAGTTATCTCATACATTTACATTGTGCATCACATAGGTAAAGTGTTATATACACTAGGTTAGAGGCGGGCACCACCCTTGTAAGTTTTATTTTTTAGCTAGAGTAGTGTAGTTAGGATTTTTCTTTAGAGACCATATACAACAGATTCTAAAACTTGGAGTAGGTATAGGGATGTTTTGTTCTGTTCTTTTCTTTGGTGCCGTCTATAAACCGAACCTGTCCTTGTACATGTCATCACCCTGCATTATATATACACCTAAACTATAGACATAACAGAGAACCACTTCAACATATTCCTGTTTTGTGTCACCTCTGTGTCCAGCTGTGGGTACCCCAATCTTTTTATATTCCAAGTTGTAACAAGGTATAACAAACACAATCCCTCTGCTTTCATGGGCACCTTGGTACGAACTCTATATGCCGATGATATCTCTGATGGAATGCGGATGGTTCCTCATGATACTGGAACAGCTGTTCCCCATTCACCCATTACATGGCAGCAAGTCTCTACTCATTGGCTAAGTTCTCATTGCGTTATGACTAGCTCGGAGGAGCCAGCAGGAAACCTCCTTCCCAAAAATATCCCACCCCGTCTGATTAAGGGGGGAAACACCCGGGGGTGGAGTCTCAAACAGAATCACTGACACACGTGGGCACATGAGCCCTGTGGAATATGTGATGTAGCTCTGCCATGGCAGGAGTCCGTGCACATTAACATCTCACTTTAGAAAATATAGCATGTGCACAGAGTGTGGTGGGATTGTCAGAGGTGTGAGTGACAGAGGGCCAGGAGAGTTAGAGCTGTAGACAGAATAATCCAGTGACCAGCCTTTAATAACTCAAACTTTGACGTTACATGTTGTGCCTGGCTTTAACCCCGAACCAGAAAATGAAGGGTGAATAAATTAATATTAGCATTATTTTCCTTATTTTGTGCATTTAGTATGGTCTTTTTCCCCCCACAAAGAATACAAAATATTTTACTTTTTATTTTCTTTTCTCAAGGGTACAACAGCAGAATCTCGATTCCAAGAGCACCAAACTACATGCTGTCATAATTAAAGGCTTATCTACATGTAGCAGAGTGGTTCCCTCCCAATATGCTAATGTCCACTGATGGCTCCTTGCCCCAGGGTGTACTTACACATCCTGCACCACGATGTACTGGTGAGGCACCAAGCCATCAACTCCATTGTACCGTCCCTCCCACCAGTCGTTGGAGGCACGCTGGTACAGCAGCAAGGAGGCACCCTTCTTGAAGGACAGCTCGCGGGCTGAGCGGCCCATGTAGTCAAACTTGGCGATGGCTTCAATGGGCTCACTCTCTGGGGGCGGAGGGGGAAAACAATCCCATCACACTCCCAGTATGGCAAGTGCATGGCGGATGGAGCCCATGTGCTGCTTCTTTACGCTGTGGTTTTAAGGGAGAAATGGCTGATTAATGCAGGAGAGAGACTTGTAGAGAGAAACAGCTGGTACTGGGGTAGTGAGTCAGTCTCACATCAGGGGGATAAAAGTCCACCTGAATGGGAAATGGCAGAAGCCTGTGGATCAATACATGGGCCAGCTTCTTATAGCAAAATGTAAAAATTCTTCTTTTGCTGTATGAAGTCAGCCAATTCATGGGGGACTGTCATTGTAACATATGTGGTAGTTGACAGGGGAACTTTGGACAATGACAGAAGTAAGTGGTAAGAAATGCAGGAAGGACAAGGCACACACACACACACACACACACACAAATGCAGGACATTTTCAGTTAACATCACAGAGACACTAGGATCCAATAGAGATTCTAAATACTTGGCAGCATTAGAGCTATATAGGGGGCCAGTTGAGGGTCACAGAACAATGAGCAGGTCTACAAGTGACCAAACAGGAGAAGTGTGAAGAGCTCTGGAGGCACAGAGTACGGCCATCTCAGGGGCTCATACCCACAGCACAAACCCATCAGCCACACAGATACGCGTCAACTCCAGAGAAGAAACAGGGAAAAGGTACCAGTGAGATTAAGGACCTCCAGTCTGTGTGCTCATTATGCAAAGCTGTGCACAGTACCCAGAAACACCAGACAAAAATTGGCCTGGAACCCAGTCATCATTACCGAGGCACATTTCTGGCAAAATTCAGAGTGGGATTATGGGTCTAATCTGGACACTAAGAGGATGAGCAGAGAGATCTAACATCAGCAGAGGGTCCACTCCAACCTGGAGCAAAGCATTAAGAATGAGCATTAGGATTCTTACCAATCTTGCAATTAGGGATAATGGTGCGTGTGTTGGGGGGGCTCCTTTGGCTCTTATTACCATGGAAACAAGCCTCAGTCTAGGAGCTCTGGGAAGATTCCAAGTGCACACTTTAAAGGGGGGGCGGGCACCACTGCAGCTTGAACTCCTCCCACTTTGACTTTTGAACAGTGACACACCAGCAATGAGCGCTATTCTCCAGGAGGGGCAGAAAATACAGCTTCCCCTCCTCCAGGTCACTTTACATGTTCCTGGTGTGCTGGAGTGTTTTACTTGAGCAGTGTCACCCACCCTTGCAGTTTCTGCGCCCAAGTTTCCAAAAATTCCTTTATCAGCAAACAGAATAAAACTGCAACACCTTCCTGGACTAATATCCTCTAAGCATAGTTGGGAGAAAAGAGATGTAAAATAAATAATGTTAATATGGTGATATGTAATGTAAGACATAATAAGAAGTGTCTCTCTAGAGCTGACTAGGACTCTGGCATTCAGGATCTCCTGCATGAGGAGTACACTAAGCAGATACGATTCACTGGGGTATAGAGACTGGGCACAGCCGGGTGTTTTTTCCAAAATGATAACATGCTGCATTTCATATTGCATTGGTGTGAGATGTCCCACTGAAATGGCTCCCACGACCACACCCAGAGACAAACCCACTAACATATGGACACACCTACAGGAACGTGTGACCGCACCTACAGAAACACACAAAATCACCCAGTGATACAACAACCATACCCAGAGACACCCAGAAAGAGGGTGCCAAAATTCTGTCAGGGGCCACCAGGCATGGGTCAGCAATCCAGTGAGTGACTGAGGGGGTGCAGGTGAATATACATACCATCCTCGCTTGTATGTGTGTCCCCATCCTGGTACAACTCGTCAAGGGTGCCATGCTCACTATAGGGACTATCACTGTAAGAAACAAAGGAGAATTAGGCATTTAATGCTGCAAACACACCAGCATTAGGAGCAGTGTTAACATGACTACAGAAGCAAAGGGACTATCTGCTCTGCATGCTGTAAAACTGTCCACCTCAAATTTCAGCTCAGTCTGTGTTTTGTCCTTTGCTAATTCAGGCATATGTCAGATGGCTGCATTTGTGCACAAATAGCCCCCAACTCGTCCCCACAAAAACGCTTCACATTCACCTTCCAATCCTGTATCCTACCCAACAGCGTGTACCCAGATGCAAAGTCAAGCCTATTAATCTACCCCCACCCCCAGATCATTTAAGTCACCAGGCTCCAAAGACAGGAACCACTAATGCTTGCCCCACACACAATACTTGCCCCAGCCCCCACCCAAAGCCAAAACTCTCACCAGTAGTCACCCCCTGCCATACACTTCTCATACACGGGTCCTTCCAACTCCTTGGAGTCAGGAAATATGGTCTCATGGTGGATGATGATGGTCTTGACAATCTCGTTGACATGTGCCTGGCAGGACACCTGGTCCTGGATGTCGGGGGTGGGCATCAGTGTGGGTCCGAAGCAGATGGCCAGGTTGTATGGGTCCATCATATTCTCATCGCTGTACTGGGATAAGCTGTGGAGGGTGCAGTGAGAACTGGAATCAGTATCAAAAGCTCCACCAATGGCTGCCTGACATAGAGTGGCTAATTTGTCTTCTTCAAACCTGCATCTTTAAAGTCTTAACAGTCTTGACATTATTTCACAGTAGAATACAGTTATGCCTCCCTTAATTTCATGATCACTGCACAAAGCCTATCAGGGTTTAATTTAAAAGGTCTGTCAATGCTCTCACATCACATACAGTATTTATAGGCCTTTCATCTTCATGTACTCTCTGCTTTAAGAGGGATAGGGCTGGTAACTCTTACCAACACCTTCATACTCGTTGGTATTCCAGCTCAAACAAGAACTCACAAACACTAACACAGTGTTGCTAAAATAAGCCTCATTAGTGAATGAGCCAACATAGCACCCAGCTTTCCACCACAATGTCACAGACAGCTTTTCATGACACTCACTGGTTCAGGAAGGAGAAAAGGTAGCGCATCAGTATGAGGACGGACCTTGGCAGGGTCACCAGAATGTTTCGGATGTACAGGGCTCTCTCATAAAGATTCTCCATTCCTGTTGTTGGGGTACAGCGTGTTAGTGAGGATGGTGGCGACTTTAATTCTGTTAACATATAGTTCTTTACACGGCACTAACAGCAATCAGAAATGATAAATACCCATGATGAGCAAGTCACAGAGGGACTGATAAAACAACAGACTGACTGATAAACTGAGAACGACTGACTGACTGTGTGTGAGGCCGTAACTGCCTGGAACAGGCTGTGTCTGGCTCTGTAGCAAAGAAATACAAGCACAACAAATCCTGCAAATTTTCCTGTCCTGAAGAATCACATGACCTTCAAGGGCAATTCATCAGCTGGGTTCCTGTGCTCTAATTGGAATGACAGGGTGCTTTGCTGGGCTGCATATTTAATGACGATTTTCCATCTGATTCCGTTCTTTCACAAAGACTTGCTGGGCTTGTCCCGGCTTCCAAAAATAAAACTTGCTGTTAAAATGAAGACCAGTGGACTCAGGACTAACCCTGGAGATCCCAAATAAAAGATTTATAGAGCAGGAATGAAGTTGCTTTATAGCACACATGGGAAGCTTTGGACTGAATGACTCTGCATCCTTAGTAATGATTGGAAAAAGTTCCAGTCTAGTTTGATGTAGGTCCTATTTGATGTAGGTTTGTCATAAAATGACAGCTTTCAATTACATACCACAATACATAATTTTTTAACTGGAGAAGATGCACAAAAATGAATTTAATGCTTCTATTTCAATCATTAACCATGAGTGCACTACATAAAGAAAGTCCACTGAAACTTCAATATGTGTCTACAGCATATTACTCAACATTGTTTTTGCCAATATTTAGATATGATAAACAATATTGTTTACATATATATAACAAGGCAACACACCCAGAAAATGAACTAATAAACTTATGATACTGTAACAGTAGGATAAGTGTACACCACCCGAATAAGAGATGAGATTATCAGCACTGGGTATTATTAACTACCTTCCAGGAGACACAAGATATGAATCAAACGTCATCAGTGTTTGTCTGTAATGACTGCGATTAGGCTTTTCACAAGGTGCTGTATCTTAAAGATGAAACTCAGTGATAGTAAACAAGGTAAATAAAAGAAAGTCAGACAATAAAATGGTTTACATATCTACTGGAACACTGTCCTCTGCTCCCACTAGCATTGAGAAGGGTGCACCATCCAGACCTTGCCTAGAGCAGGTCATGCCACCAAAGTGGAAGACTAAGCCAGGAGGAAGGTGATCATAAATGCAACTGAGAATCCAAAGGCCAGTTCTAAGGATTCTTAGGCATTTATGTCATAGGATGATCAATCAATGTGTGCATGTTAGAACTAGCAGAGTTGTATGGGATGCTGCCCAAACCAGAACAAATGGAATCAGGGAACCTATAACGAGGCTTAATTCAGATCCTGAAAATCAACTCTCTGGGGATTCTGGACTGGTGGAGGAAGGCTTTGCAGTCTGATGAAACTAAGATGGAACTTTTCAAAACCTTTAAAAACATTGTCTGGCAAACATGGAACAGCATGTCATGCTGTGCTGCAGGATCGGGGGGGTGCTTCTCTTCATTAGACGAGGCATGTGTGTGGCAAGAAAGAATGGCGGCTGGTGCCAACAGATATGCCAGGAAAGTCTGCTATACTCTTCGGGCGCTTTTCCACCGCACAAAGTATGGTACTTTCGGTACGATAAAGTTCCAGTACCGGAAATGCCAAACCAGCTGGGGTACTTCTTTGGTACTTCGGTACTTTGGGGTGGGTATTTGCTGTCGGTTGGTTATGCAAATAGCCTGCCACTGAAACACAAAATATACACAGCAAACAGCGAGAAACTAAATAAAAACCAGTAGAAACAAAAATATTTTTAAAAAAGTAAAACGGAAGGATGAACAAACGAGGAAACAGACTTTAATCGCCATATGGTCGGATGAACAGATCCAGCAGGATTTGGATGACACGACTTGGAATAAAAAAGTATTTGCCGTAATAGCAAGCCGTTTGGAAGAAATGGGGCACACGCGAAACACCGAACAGTGCCGCTTGAAAATCAAAAAACTTAAGCAGGCCGGACTACAGGAAAGTGAAGGATCATAATGTTTTAACATATTTGAATTCAACAAAAGAAATACCGTGTCGCGCTTTGTGATGATGTCAGTCAGAGGCGATCACTGATGATGTCTTTTGGCACTGGTACCAGTTTTTACGCCAGTGGAAAACCGACACAAAAGTAGTACCATACTTTTGGTACTTTATGGAAGTACCGAAAGTACGGTACCTGGTGCAGTGGAAAAGCGCCCTTCCAGAAAATGTCTTCTTCATTTACCATTTAACACAATAATGGGCTAAAGCAAAAACAAAAAAAAGAGAGGTAAATGTCTTGCAGAGACCCAATCAAACCCCAGGCCTCAACACAACGCAAAAACCCACTAAGTGGCTTAAAGATGGGGGAGAATTTGGGGGAGAACTTGATTGAATTTTCTTTAGTCTAGGGGTGCAGAGCTTAGTAGAATAGGTGTACACCTCCCCGAATAACAGATTACATTATCAGCAATGGCTATTACTAATGGCTAATATCTATCCATAAAAGTGGTCTTTGGATTCTCAGTTGCACAAAAGCCCCAAGATTTATGACTGAAAACTGATTGGAGAATTAGATTTTTCTTATTTTTTTACTTGAAAGTATTTAGTGAATGTTAGAGGAAATTTTTAGTGGTCATGATTTCAGTATGCAAGGGTGTATACTTCCTATGTACACTACATGCCAAACTGCTTTGGATTTATGACTGTTCTTTTGTAACTAATAGACTAAATATTGAAATCCAATGTGTAACTGAACTAATGTATCCTTCAGCTATACAATTATCCAGACTGCTCAACAAGAATGGCAAAACTTTGACTGTTTCATATTCTAATGCAGGCTTATGTTTATGATAAATAAGTGGAATATTTCAACACACAGCAATTTTCTTGGAACACCAAGAAAGCGCTACAACAAGGCAATCAAATCCAGGCGAACCTTCCTTGCAGTTTCCCACATCGCCACAAAGGAGCATAATTAAGAATACAACACTACTGGACTAATCAGGCATGCCACACACATGAATCCAGAGAACACCAGAACCTTCTCTTCCTCTCGTCCTCATAATGAATATAATATACTGAAAATATACTGAACAGAAGAGTCATATGACCACCTTCCAGGTCACAGTGGGGCTACAGGAACAGAAGCTTACCCCTCACTTCATGGGAAGTGAAAACTTGACTGAAAGTCTGGTTTTACTGGAATGATATTCCAAATGGCTCTCACTGTGTAGCAGGCCATGTGGAAAAGTGCAGGATTTTGGGATATGCACCATAAGAACTCAGTAAAAGAAGCTTTCAAGAAATAGATGGACGGATTCCTCTTGACCACTTTAAACCTCCAGCAGGCCAACGCAGATGTAACGAAAGGAGGGATGAACATGCATAAAAATGACTTTCATGCAATTACTCATATTTGATTGCACATCCCTGGGGCACTGGAAGCAACTGGATGGATGATTTGTCATTTGAATCTATGAGTTGTTTTTTTCATGAGTATTCTGGAACTGTGAAGAAGCATAAAATGCAGTAGCCCATGACCACTACCTGGCAGAATATCATTCTGCTTCCCGTTTTTCTGAGTGAAGAGCTGCTTAGCTATTACTCGGGTGTCAATCGCTCCATCTAGCACATTCTCTGTGCTTTAAATTACACCACTTTTTTTTTACTGTCTGTCAGGTTTAGTAACATGCTCCATTAGCCCGCCACACGGTGCTGGTCCAGCTAACAAAGAGAATGAAAGGCTCCCTGTCATGGCAGCCCAACTGGTTTTCTCAGGACGGTCCCCATCTGCCACAGGTTGTCCATAACAGAGGATCCAGCTCAGAACAGCATGTCACCGTCGGGGAATCCCTGCATGGTGCCAACATCCATAGACATAGGAGAAAAGCAGAGCCCTCTGGGATAGCTCCACCCTCCCCAAATAATAAAAAAAAACAACTCCATCCACAAGGACCAGCCGTTCACCGTTCACTATGAATCACTTACAAACCCAGCCTACAAACACAGAAGCTCAAATAACCAACCCACAGCTGCTCTGAACAGGCAGCTTCCTGCATTTCACTCTGATTACCCATCATCAACCCACAAGTCCCCAGTCAGCCAGCCCAAGATGTGCAAAACCATGATCAGCTGTGGCTAAAGGAATGACACTTTATTACAGAAGAAAATGCTTTATTTAGGAAGAAAATCACTCACTGTTACCCTACCAGCTGACGAATGAGAGCATCTTTCCAAATTACTGCTGTTAAATTCATGCATTAGGCTGCCCCTGAATGTTTCATCACTCATATGTAACTGAAGCTACAGGTGGCAGACAGAGACACACAGAGACATTCAGAAAGAGACACATGCGCTATGCTTAAGCCACACACACCCTCAGACATCCCAGATTCAGAGACACCAATGCGGAGGTACTTACTGACACAGGAAATCAGGTCATTGAATCTTTCTTTGGGAAAGAGTGGGTTTTCCAAGCCCCGGAAGTAGAGCTTTAGAACCCCAGCCACTGAGTTGATGTCATGGTTGTTCTCATCATCTGTCAGTGGGTCGTTGCCTAAGGAAAATTACAAGTCCAGATGATGCAGTACCTCATTGAGTAATTTAACTAATGGGCTGAAACAAAGGCAAATGGACCTACTGGGGTGCTGATGCCTATGAATCGCTCTCAGTCTCGCAATACCTCTTGACCAAGTTTGACGCGCAAAAGCTGTATTCCTGTGTTCAGTGTGAATTTTTTTTGTGCTTTATCTACAGTATATTTAGTGATACAGTAATCATGGCCCCTAAGAAAGTGAACAATGATAGTAGCAAACCAAACAGGAAAGTGGTGAGAGTAACTGTAGAACTAAGATCGAATTTTGAGTTGAATATTCCCATAAGAAATAATGTAAATTAATTTAATCCATTCCAGTCCCCCAAATGATTGTCTATAAGTTATCTACCTACCTACCTAATGATAAAAAACATTAATAGTCAATAGAAACCTAATACACACATGAAAAAGCAGACATACAAAAGCAATAAACATGAAATAAATGACAATCCCATACTCCGAAGCAAGAGCAGACACACGTGCACCACCTTCAAGTATCACTATAATTTTTCTTTTTATATAGCAACTCGACCAGCCTTCTGGAATGAATAAAGTTTGTGTTCCAAGAAACCACTGTATTCATTTATTCATATTTCACTTTTTTTTCCTAAAGAAAATATACTGTTACTACTGCGTGTTAATTTGCCTCAAAACACGAAGGACAAAAATTTTCCGTTTTATGACCTTAAACTCAAAGCTGCTGATGATTTCCATCTTAGTCACATCTAAATATACGACCGTGTCCAAAGAGAGTAAAGCTGGATGTGACAGGACATCTGCCGAACTTCAGTGAGGACTCGTATTTCTGACATCTTGGCATTAGCATTTGGCAGTGGCAGCAGCTGCAGATCCATCCCCCACCTCGCTCAAACGAGTTCTTGATGTCGTTAACTTCCACCTGGGACCCGGACACCCGGAATATGCCCTGGTGCTGAAGGCCTGTGGTGCAGTGGGACAGAAAACGTGATCAGACCCCAGTAGACAGACGGTGTACACTCACAGACACACAGCCGTTTGCTCCCCGCTGCTTTGTGCGAGATAATGAGAAAAGGCACCTGAGTCTCTTCACCTGTACAGGTGGCTCATAACGGGAACCAGCAGAAGGCTACTGAGACAAATCAGCCTGAGGCTGCCTCAGTGCTGTTCCCTGATGGTGAGGCCATGGCTATGGACTGACATACAGTGATGATCGAGTTTAATTATTTTCACGTGCTTCACTTAGTTACAATCTGTAAATGGACAGTTAATTCCTACTGAATGGCTAAAAATAGATAAAGAGCATTTCCACACAGTAAAACCATCATTCACAGTCCAGAAGGCAGTTTAAGACAAGCGAATGCCAGCCTAGTTTAACCTGCCTGAAGTTATTCCTACACCTACAAGTTACAAAATGCTTCAGTATCAGAGCATGTGAGTGGAGCGTGAGCGAGGAGCGGAGTGGGCGGAATTTGGTCAGAGCGCGGAGCGGTTTTTTAAATAAGGCTGGAACGGTCGCTTTGTCTCGCTACAATTTCGCTCCAATACCGCTCACACTACGATTCTGAGGCGTGCCCAAATCTACCCAGAATTCATCTGTACAATTATCAAGACTGCTACACAAATTGGCCGAGATGGAATTCGCAAAGTATTTCACAAAGGGCGTAAATCATACAAGTGTACTATTCTTATCAAACGTATAGATGACAATAATGTACAGCAAGAACAACAATGTGGTGAAACTGTTTCAGTGAGTAAAGATTCACTTTGGAATCACTTTTCTCAGAAACATGAGTGTGCTACGCGAACAGGCGGAAGCCAGAGCAAAACGCGAGCAAGTTTTCTATGTTTGTAGCATATCAAGACTATAAAGTAAATTAAAGTATAAAAGCCTATAAATAAATATTGGTAATCAAATTCGTTTTGTCATTCAAAGTAGGTCTAATAGGATTTTTTTTTTAAATTTCACGTAACGCTTTCAGTGAAATTTTATTTTATAGAGACGCAGCAGCAGCATCAACAGAAAAAAATTGAGGAATTTAAAACGTGCCTGTATATTCTTTATGCTATTAAGCCCACTGATTCCTTTATTTTTAAGCCTATTCTTGTGTGGAATGCCATTGTCAAACCTGTGTGGAATGCCATTGCCAAACCTTGTTGCCTATAAGTTGCTTAAAAATAAATATTTTCTGTTCTGACTGGCAATGTTGCCGTTGCTCATATTTCTTTATGATATAAGGCTTCGGTTTATGATGACATTTGTTAGGCATGCAGAATATTTGTCCCTCTTAAATTGGAGCGAGCGTAGAGCGATTTGACTGGAGCGGGAGGAAATTTTAGTGGAGCGAGTAGCGGTGTTGAGCGGAGAAGCTTAGTGCGAATTAGAGCGGAGGAGCGGGCGGAGCCAACAGCCTCGTGAGCAAGGAGCGGAAATTCTCAATGCTCCACTCCGCTCATATGCTCTGTTCAGTATACAAGATACAAAGCTATTTATACATCTTTGGTAAAGTTGACAACACCCAAACTTACCATAGAGATTAATGAAGCGGACGCAGCTCTCAACCAGACAAGGGATTGCTTGGCCAGAGTCCTTAAAAAACAATTAAGAGTGTATAATAGGGGCGCGTTCAGTAATAACATGGCAAAAGAAGTCTGAAATCTGAAAGAGGCAACTCTTCTGCAATGGAGCGGAGCAACATTTTCCTTCATTAATCTTTATTCATTGGTGGCCTCCATTTTTATTGTGGTCATAACTTTAATAGATCATCAAATAAAATGCTCCCAGGATTAACAGACTTAAATGACAGGTGCACACAGCAGGAAACTGAATCAGCTAAATGTGCGTGTTTTATAGGATCTTTTGCTGTCAGATGTTAGCCCTGCTGTCTGACACAGTACCATCCCTACACGGGCTGGGCCAGTCACCCAGCATCAAGGATCAGAACTTTAAAAATGCATGAGAAACCGATTGCCATCACAGAGTAAACTGTGACACAGTGCAGTATGAAAGAAGCCATGTTAGCTTACGTATGATGTGTAAAATAGCAGCTTCATGAGACTGGGGTATACACTGATCTAGTGGATACCGTCTGGATTTGTGGACTTCTACATGTTTTTAGTTTTTTAAATGCAAAGACAGGGGTCAGTCGTAGCAGTGCTGCTATGGGACGAAATGGAAAAGAGGGAGCTGAGAGAAGGAAACGGGAAGTGTGGAAAGGGAAACAGGAATTGCATAAAAGGAAACAGAAATTGCAGACTTTACCTGGTTTCTGGAGTGAGAGTTCCGTCGGCTACGGCTACATGTTGAGATGAGGCAGAAGAGAAAAAGGGAGCAGATCAAACACGATTCTCTGTCCAATAGTAGAAAATGACCAAGCTTCACTTTGCTAATAAGGGCAGTAATAATAATAACTAATCCATCCATCTTCTAACTGTTTGTCCTGGTCATGGCCTGGAGCATATCGCAGGCAGTACATGGCACTGCAGATGGGATTCCAGAATAATAATAATAAGAACAATAACAATAATAATGAATAGTGAGCACATCCCTCGAGTGTGTGTCTATTTCATTCATGCTCCCCAAACTCACTGACTGTCAGCTTTTTGGGGGCCAGCATTGCACTTCTCTTGGTTTGCTGGCTCTCTGAGAATTTGTCAGAGACACGCCACACTCCATACTTTGTGTGTGTGTGAGAGAGAGAGATTCCAGGTAGCAATTTTATTATTTGCTATCTTTTTCTGGCAAGCAAAAATTGTATACATAACAGTATACCTAACCATTTATTTCTTGTATGCACACTTCATACAAAAACACGATAGGGCAGCATTTCATCAATAAGGTATATTTTCTCACTGATGTATTACAACATGTACGCTCCTACTCTGTTCTATTGCCCAACTCCCAGAGGATACCAATGCAATGTGTTTTGTTATAACATAGTAGTCTACCAAAATGCCTCTACTTACGAACTTTCAACTTATGAACTTTCAGACATACGAACGAAGAGGTCTGCAAACCTGCGTGAAGTTGCCCCCCCATCTGTTTCAGATTTCAACCAAACTGGTCTCAATCATATGTGCCGTTAAAATTTTTGTTTGTGCTGCTTTAGTTTCTGAGATATTAATGTTGTTTACATGGTCACGTGACACCAGCGTGAAGTTAGCCCCCCATTTGCATCTGATTTCCACCAAACCGATCGCAATCGTTTGTGCCGGTTTGTGCCGTTAAAACTGTCCTTTGTGCTGCTTCCGTGCAGAGATATTGCTTATTTACTTAGTCATGTGACTCCGCGGTTAAGTTAGCCCCCCATTTGCCTCCGAATCAGTCTCAATAGTTTGTGCCGTTTAAAAGTTGTCTGTACTGTTATTTTTCTGAGTTATACCTCTTACGTGATCGCCGTATAGTGCTCAGGCTCGTGTTTCTCATGTTAACGGAAGGTGGAGCGTTTGATGACTCCACGGCAAAGCTGTACGTACTTTGTCAGCCTCACCAGCCAGATAACGCATTTCAAGATCGTGCTGAATAAATTCAGGTTCTCAGCGGCTAACATCCATATGCTTTTCATATGTAGCACTTTGTTTGGTTGAAATCTGAAACATATGGGGGGCCAATTTCACGCAGGTCCAAATTGTGTTCGTTGGGCTCCCGTTTCCTGTCCGTCACATCAGTTGTTTTTTCTGTGTGCTAATTCCACCTAGTACAACTTCTGGCCGGTACTCCAGCCGGTACTCCATCCACGCAGCAGCGTAGCGTGTGTACTCCCAGCATCCTAGTTCTTTGTACTTGCGTATACCATTAAAATGATGTTGAATAACGACTTACGAACATTTCAAGTTACGAACGGCCGTTCGTAACGTATGTCGTTTGTAAGTAGAGGAGCGTCTGTATTAAGGATCAACTTGAGTGACACTAAATAGATATATTACATTGACACATAAATATTACAATTTATATATGTGTGATAATAATCCAATTTGAGCAGGGTGTCAACTGTCAATGTGACAACACCATAGCGACCAATAATGGCAGGCATCAACATGCCACATTCAGAGCAGCCAGCATTCAAGTCCCCTAAATTTCATTTTTGACAGGAGCACAGAAAACTCAAAAGAGAAAATTTTAACCAGTCTGTAGCTCAAAGCTTTGTTGTCTACTCTCATTTCCTAGCCATCAGGAATCAAGGAGTCAATTCTTTTTGGACTCCTGTGTGAGTGCTTCACTCCTGGTTGTCTCCCAATAAGCATTCACCTTACTGAGGTACCACAAACCAGAGGAAAGATTGAGAGTCTTTCTGGGGTCACCATGCTTTATGCTGCATCCCTGTACTACAGTAAATTTCTGACACAGCATAGTTTGGGAGCGGTCTGATGAGGCCTGTGACTGAAGTTATCCTGCCCTAGTGCTGATATTTAGCAGACAACTTTTTCAGTTAGTGCCTGGGGAGATCCTTCATAGTATCTCTATCTCTCTCTCTCACACACACACATGCGCGCACATATTTGTAATTATATCTTTGTGGGGACTCTCCATTCATTTCTGTGAGGATATCATTAATCCCAACATGACGACCTTAATCCCAACCCAGCCCTAACCTTATCCATAAGTAATCAAATAAAGTACGAGACTTTTGGCATTTTTAGGTTTTTGATTGCGTTCACTGATCTTTGTGGGGACCTGAAAAATTGTCCCCATAACATCAAAATAACTGGTTTTTATTACATTGTGGGGGAACATTTGGTCCCCTCAATGTAATATATACATATATACACACACACACACATATAATATGTGCCTTGTGAAGCACATGTGTCAAGGTTGGCTAGAAACTCAGTGGGAAATAAAACTATCATGACACACTCACACTGAGGAGAGTATATTACATTTCAAAATTTCAAAAAGGCTTATAAAACCTAATAAAGACCTGTAAACATACCAAGAAGTGCTTGAGGAAAACAGCTCTTTAGAAGGCTCTGCAAGCTAACCATGGTTGTAGTAACAAAATGTAACATGCAGCTTCAGCTGCAACTGCAGGAATGGGGAACGATGCTCTTTGGAGAAGCACCACAAGTAATTTAAAGGTTAAAGAATGGGAGCACTAAGGGAGAATTAATGCTGTTCACAATGAAAGCAGAGACTCCTGGATTGTACTGAAAGCAGAATCTCTCTTTGCCTCTCACCTGGTAGTCATGTGCTCAGGCCGATGACCTGGAGATAGGGAGAAGATACAGTCTCGAGCGTACCGCATGGTATACACATAAATGCATACATTCCTATCATTGTGGGGACTCTCCATTCATTTCTAAGGGCATAAGCATGATAACCAACTTTAACCCTTATCTAGCCCAAACCTTAAACATAATGATGCTTCTCCACTGTCACCAAGAACAGAGCTGTGCTGCAAATTGGTGGTTTTCCATTGCAAGGTTTGCGAGCCGAAGCCAAGGCATAACCATGCTGACATGGCCCTACTTACAGTACTAGCTGGTTGCATCACTACTATCTAATGGTTTGAAATGCACAAAGATATCAGTGTTCTATGCATGGATTACCTGAAGGAAATCCAGTATGTCCTTTATATTATTCATTATTAGTAGTATCACACATCACGATGCATTGGTGCGTTCCGAAAAACTCGGAACTTGAAAATTTAGAACCTCCTACTTTATAACGTACTATAGACAGCTGAACAGAATGGATTCATAATGCAAATTTACGCAACTGAATCCTAACTGTGCTAGTGTTTTATGCTAACACGGCAATTCTCACAGACATGCTAGTGGAAATTAGCACACAGTAAATCATGATGTACACCACGTGAACAGTAAATAGGCGTTTCTTCGGTTTTATGTCCACAATACTCTTACTGAGCCAACCTTTCTGAACTGGAAAACTAGTCCCTCTTTGCGGTACGGTATGGGTACAGCTCGGTTCCTGTATGCCAGAAGAAACATGCTATAATTAACCAAACAAAATACAAGACATTTACCTATTTGAGTTTTTTAACTGCATTCACTGGAAAAGGTCTCCATACACACAGTCCAAAGAAGAGTTGGTCCCCACAATGTGACACCGGGTCAGACATAAAGAGAAGAGGCATGGCAATGGTTACCTTCTCCAAGAGTCCTCTTCAGCAGATCGTGCTTAGCCTGAAGCTTGGAGATCAAGTTACTGCCCTCCATAAACTCGCGGAACTTCTGTTGGAAGCAGAGTACAGCTAAGTAGCGAGAGCTGTTTGGCTGTCAACAAGATTGTAAACACTGCCGGGGTGATGGACATAGAAGACTTGATTTTTCTCTCTACGGCACCCAAAACAGCCTTTGCTTTATTAGAGTTCATTGCGTTCATTGGGTTCAAATTAGTGTCATTTGCAGTAACACCAGGGAACGCTCACCATGAAGTAGAACTGCTCAGTCTCCTGTTGGTTGGCACGCCTCTTTGCCATGCTTGGCTTGCTGAGGTATGTCTCGGATACAGCTGATTTAACTGACTCTGTGGAGCGGCTGTGGTGAAAACTCTCAGAAACATCATAGTCTTCCACAGATACCATGTCTTGGATGGTGGTCAGGGTGGCCTCCAGTGTCTTCTTGATCTGTGTGTGAATGTTGATGGAGACAATTGTACTGGCCTGAACAGAGGCTACTTTAATTGGTCAGATGACAACAAACACCAGTGTTATGTCATGGTTAACCCTTTTCTAAATTGTGTTTCTTGTTTCACAAAAATGACCTAAAGACAGCCATGTGGCATCTCTCATTGTTTTTCACAAAGAGACATTCAAATCCTATGCCAGACTAATTTGAAAGGCAGTATATAAGCTCTGATCCCATCCTACTGCAAGGGAGACACATTGAGCAATATAATCAGATGTACAACAGAACATTAGGCTTCTTGTTGCAGAAAGAAAACCCAGGTGAAACCCAAAGAATCGCATGCAAAACTTAGACACTCAGATCGAGAACTCGAAGCCCTAGCAAACATTTGTAGGATCACACATGCACATATCAGAGGGCTTAAATTCCAGGTGGCCTGAGACAAGGCCGAGCCTGGTACGAGAGGCACCAAAGGGGGGTTTACACATATAAACACACACAAACACACACAGATAACAAGGGAGGCCAGCACTCCAACTTTTATTGCCCAAAGATTTAGGGACCTACAGACAAGCAGAGTGGACCTAATGGACAGGGGTCCCTCGACTTGGCACACAACCCCCTCGCCAGATATCCTGCCTTGCATACCACTCACCGAACAGACCAACACCCTAAAGAAAGTTTCATTTAAGTTTGGCTTTTGTATACCGTGTATATTGATTTACTAACGACTACTAGTCTCAATATACAGATAGGTTATGTTTGTATGTGTTTGTATGTGTCCTTAGACAATCTTAGTGTTTTGTGTGCCACCCTTATAACCATGTTCACGGAGTATCACCTATTTTACCCCTTTGCACTTGAACACATATAAATTTAA